TCCGTATCGTCGGCAATAATTACACCATTTTTTGAAAGATGGTTTGCCTTTAAAGTTTGGGTGTTTTTCGTAAATATTGAGTATTTCAGTGATTTTTTCAACGAGGTCTGTATCTGATTCCTGTATATTGATTATATTTGTGGAAGCTGTTTCAATTCTGTTAACGTATTGTAATTTCAGATTTTCTGTTTCTTCGAGTTTCATTGTGATTTCTGCTTGTTCTAGTTTGTCTACTAGTTTTCGAAAATCTAAATCGGGTTCTCGAATTGAAGAAGGATGGGATGCTCTCTTTTTTATTGCTATTTTTCTTAATTGCGGTGTTAATGTCATCATTAAGATTTCTGTCATCTTTGTGTTTTTATAGTCGTGTGTATTTAATGAATATGCTTTTCGAACTAGTGTTTCGATGCGTACTGCTAATTGCTTGATGGTTTCATTTGGTAATCTGCGAATTTCATTACATAAAACTCTTTGTTGTTGTTTGTTTCTTTCGGAGTCAAACATTTTTGAAAATTCTTGTGTAAACCTTTTCCAATTTGATTTTATTTCTATAGGCAATACTGAAAACCATTTTTGGGCTGCGCCATCTAGAGTTGTTTGTATTAACGCTGTGCGTCGATGTATCCAGTTTTGATGTAGTGGCGTATTAATTGGTTCAGGTCCTATATTTAAAATCAAATTTGCTGTGACTGCATTTAAATAGTCTTCTACAGAATATTCAGGGTCTGTTCCTGTGAATACCATTAAAGGTTTATTTGATGTTATTGATGATCCACCCATAAGGTATGGATTCATCGTCATTTGTAATGATTCTGCTGCATTTGGCATTTGAGAAAAATTTGAAAGTTGATTTCTTGTTATTTCGTGTTGTTGAAGATAATATGGGAGTGGTATTTCATTTTGCATTTGTGCTGGTTGGTACGAGTTTGCAATCATTGGGTTTTGTTGCTGAATTGGTTGAAAAGATTGTGTATTAATTGGGTTTTGTTGCTGAATTGGTTGTTGATTTTGTGTATCTATCGGTTGTGGAGAAAAAATTCTATGATTTGTATGTGGTTTCTGTACTCCTTGTCCACGATATTCTTGATTATATGGTGCAAATATATCTGGTTGTAAAAAATCATCATCTGAGGATAAGTAATCCATTTGATAAGATGTTTGTTTTTTATTTTTATTTTGTTGAAAAAATGGATAGTTTTCACTACGATCCTGTGGAGGATGTAAATTTGTTTGGAAATTTACTGAATTAGGTGGTGCCATTGGGTTATCCCAGTTTCGAGATCTTGTATAATTACTAAAATTTTTTCGTGGTTGATAATTTGTTTTTGATGGATGTGTGTAATTATAATTATGGTCTGCAAAGTTGTTTCTAGTGAACGTTTTGCGTGTTTTTGGCGGTATTGTCATGGGTCTGTATGTTTGGTAATCCATGTGTGAATATTTTGGGGCCACCGAAGGTTTAACGGTTGATTGTAATGTTACCTGTGTTTGTGAAGGATTTGTATTTCTTGGTGTTGTTAAGTTTGGACGTATTGGTGAAATACTTTGTTGTGTAGTTGTTGTGTGTACGATTTCTTCATTTATGAAGTGTGATGGTGTCTGGATATCTTGTTGAGTAAGGTTCCTAGTTCCATTGAGGTTCTCATTGTGTATGACTGTAGAGTTTAAACTATTATTTTGCATATCGGGTAAAAATGTATTATAGTTTATTGGTGTTGCATCAATGGTTAATGGTATTACTCGTACATAATCTCTTACATAAGATATCGTACTTATTGCTTGACTTGAGATTGATTGTGGGAAGTTTATGGATGCGGGATGAGACCATTCGGGGTCCCAAACATAGTCTGATTGTTCTGTGATGGCAGTATCATCATTTGAGTTTTGGGGTCTAAAATTTTTTCTTGCTTGTGAAATTAAATCAATATTATGTGTGAAATAATCTATTATGAACCATGCCAAGATTTTTTGTAAGTCGTGTTTTGTATGTTGTGAAACTTCATCTTTCGTGAAATTTTCTTTAATTATATTTAGAAAACTAGAGAGTAGTGTGATTTCATGTCGTACTCTTATATGTTTAGATGTTTCTGTCGGTGAGACATTTGTGATTGGGATTTCGTTTTCTAATATCGAGATATAACTATATATTATTGCAAAAACTTCATTGGTGAATATGGAGTTTGCTCTTTGTGAGTTATGATATTGTATGCTTTTTATATATTCTGAGAATACTTTTGAGAATTCTAAATCAAGGTCGTCTGTTTGAATTACATATTTGCTGTGATTCTGGTTTGGTGAGTTGAATTCTATGGAGTAGATTCCGTATTGTTGTGTTAAGTTACATATATCTTTCAAATAGTGATCGATAATTTGTCTTTTGATTTTTACATCTGGGAACTCTGTTTTACATGGACTGATTCCGGGTTCAAACAAATTTAAGAGTAAATTTTTGCAAAATATATGCTGTCCTCTATCAGTGGTTGCATCTACGATAAAGGGGAAGATATCATCATCATCTGGACTTTCTTCACCTGGGGTGTGCGTTGAGCTCATTTTTTCGTTCGATGACTGTTAATATGTAATTATCAATGTGTCTAATTGGTTGATTCCAATTGTATAAATGTACTGGTTTATGTTTATACTGCTTTTTTATTCTTCTTTTTCCTCTTTTTGATGAATTTGAAGTTGTTTCTGGGTCAGAGAAATATAATTGATCGTGAATTGGGCAATTTTTATCTATTGATTCTTTTAGTTTATAAAGTTCGTCTAAACTGTTGGTTTCTGATTCTGAAAATGCGTTTCGATTTTTTGAAAATCTTTTTCGTGTTATTTGTCTTTGTTTAGTTATTATTTTTCTCTTTAATGTTTGTCGTTTTGTTCTAATGTATCCAACTGTTTGTGTATGAGGTGTGATTACAAGGTCGTATTTTTTATTATCTATTTCACAATTGTGTAAAACGATTGTTTGTTTATTTCCTAGGTTTTTAAATGACATAAGGTTTAGGATGACGGATGCAAAAGGTTGTTAAATGATTTCTATTTGCTTAAACTGTTAGTCCTTACGATTTTTTGGTTAGCCTAACCTGGGTCTATTTGTTCAGGGTTGGGGAGAAAAGTATATCAATTCCGGAGAATGATTTTATACTTTCTCGTGGCTAGTATAAGCTAAGGTGTTAACTTACTTAATCTTACTTAAGGGTAGTGATTGTGTTCAGGGTTGGAGAATAGTAAATCGATCCACAAGGTTCAGGTATAATTAGAACGCGAGTAGTTCGTTAGATACTATTTTAAACTTACTAAGTCTAAGATTTATCCTGGGTCTGGTAAGAGGGGGGATCAAGTGAAGGATGAATAACCGAAGTTCTTCACTGTTTATCCTAATTTGAATGATTAGTTTTGTTCAAAAATTTCTATTAGTCCTGGGTTTTTAGAAAGGGTTGGATAGTGAATCGACGTTTGAGGTCGTTAGACACTAGTTAAGTGGGTGGGGGAGAACAAAGTTGTTCTTTTTGATCCAAGGATAGGCCTTGATGATCAAGTTTTAAATTTAATTAAATAGAAAATGATTTAAGATCCAAGGATAAGCCTTGATGATCTAATTTTAAAATTAAGTGAATTTAAGTTTAAAATGTTTTAAATTTGTGTAAAGAAAAGATTTAGTATTTTTATGATATTAGTGAGCTTATGAATGCTGTTATGTTTAGGTGATGAAGCTGGAACAACAGGATGATTTATAATTACTAACCATTTATTGTCATGCTACTAATTTTTATTTTAATTTTTCAATAAATCTTTTCAAACATGTTTTGTATATTACTGCAGAATTTAGGAAAACGATCTGAGATCTTTTTATCAATCGTTATTGTATATTAATAATTTTGTTTAGCGCCTGAAATGATTTTGAAGATTGACTTCAAAATTTTATGTTTGCAAATGAAAATCTAAATTCATTGCTATTAGTATTCTAAATACAAAAGTTTGTTCTGGCTTTTGCCGAACTATCATATAACTATATGGTAAGTTTCTGCTTTGTCGTATGTCGTCTCTGGTTCGAGGTCTTCTTCCAATTCCGGGTAGTTCTGTTATCGTTCGGAATATTGGCTCTGATCTATTGAGTCGTAGAGACATTTCGATTAAATTATTGTCGTATAACATTTTGTAAATGTTTTGTCTAAATTCTAATCTATTATTGGTTAATTCTAAGCTATTAAGGTCTTGTTCGAGACTTATGGTCGCACCAGATGACTTAGGACCGATGGGTATAACTCATAGAGTAATTTCGGATAGGGTACACCGTCTGCTCGTCACGCTATCTTATTTTCGGCCGGATAGATTCGTGCAACTTCTTAGTCTAATACCGATCCTAATCTTACTCTTATACTATCTAGTCTCAGGTTGTTTAACTAGTCTCTGCTAGGCTCAATAGATCTAGGGTATACTGGTTTATTGCGGCTGCTGAAGTACTCGGGAGAGTTCAACTAATTTCTAAGTTAAATTCAAATCTCTCTGGTGCTGAAATTACAAGTAATTCCAGCACTTACAAATAAGTGGGTTGTTAGTTGTATGGATCATGATTGGTTAATATTAAATACTTTACAGTGGTAAAATATCTAATTTATCCAATCATAAAATGTAGTTTAGATCAGGTTCCAAAATTCTTGAAAAGCAATGATTTAAGCTTCTTTTCAGCTTCTTTTAACCTTCTTTTCAGCTGCTTTTAACCTCCTCTGTTTAAGCTTCTTTTAAAGCTCTATTGCTTTTTCTGCAAGACTAAATGATGCAAGGACAGACAGTTTCACGACATTAGACTCCAATAATATATGGGGCAAAGTTTTTTTTAAAAGTTTGGTTTTTAAGATTTGCCTTTTTCTTTTTATACTATTTTGCCAGAGGATGACAGCTTTTCCAAAGGTATTAACAATAAGTTCGCGAAGCTCGCGATAGGGTTCTACATAATAGAGTACTTCTAAATCATATCAAAATTTTTTTTGTTCTGGTACCTCTTGTATCGAGACATGGGACCCGGTGTCTGTGGGGGTCCCTTCGGATCAAACACCCAGAATTTATGCTGTTTCTCGTTGTCATCTTTGTATGTCCCGCTTTGGAAACACTGCTCTTTATCGAGGACAAATGTCTACAAAAGTGCAATACATTTTGAAAGAAAAAACTTCGTTGCTGGAAGAGTCGCTATAAAAACTTGCCCTAACTTGAGCTTTCTACAGTTTTGGATGAATGTTATGTTTTTGCAGTCACAAGAGAAGGAACTTGCAAATTTATGTTTCAAACAATGAACGAACGTAATACTATTTACGTTTCTGCCTTTTTCTCCGAAACTATTTACGGAAAGGGTGACATATGATTAACGAAGATATTTAAAAGGTTCCGTTCGAATCAGAACGTGAAGTTGTTTTGAGGCGTTTGAAGGTTCTTCGTTTTAGTTGAAGGTTTCTATCAGCTATTGAAAAATTCCCGTAAACAGAAAAATAAGATGAATTTTGGCACTCAAAATTACTGTTCGAAAACTTTAACATTGTGGTTACCCCTTATGTTCTTGCTTCAAATATGCAGGTGTAGTATTGCATAACTACCAGTCACTCAAAAACTGTCATTTTTCTGAAAAAGGTTTCTCTTTGACAAAAACCAACTTGATAGTTTACATTTGTCTAGTTTTAGCATCCAAATTGAAAAATTTGAATTTTGAAACCTTTTCGTCTGAATTTTCATTATACACACAGAATTACTCCAGTGCATTGATCTGGAAAACAAATCAGGCGAGCTGAAAATTACTAACAACGATTGTTCTGCCATTCAGGAAATTAATCTCTATGTGCTTAATAAAGTCATCCCTTGTAAGACCAGCCCAGAAAAAATCATACGCAACCGATTGTCGTGTTACCGTCTACCAGCGCTCCTACAGAATGTATGTGGAAGCAGATATGTGTAAAGTCAAAACTTTGCTAATGCAATATAATTGTAGCATGTCTTCATTCCCCAATTGTCCATATTATGGTTATTATGACATATGGTTATTATACCACCACAATTTTGCACAAAAGCAGCAAAAATTAACCTAGTATCAGGGGATGAAGATGATTACAGTCTTAGTTAAATATAAAATGAATGAAACTAATTGCAGCACAAGAATGGAGGAATATCATTGAATAGCTAATTTTTTTCAAAAAGTTCAAAAGGTATTTCTCAACGCAAATTTACTGCATTTCTACGTTGAATTTAACTCAAGCTAAAACATTTGATCGACAAAAAATTCTCTCAATTTCTCTTCAAAGGTGTTTTTCTCTGCAACAATGAGCTCTTCTGCAATTGAATTTTATTCATTGCAGATACTGACAGTTAGTTAAGATGCAACTGTCCGAAAGGAAAAAATCGTTGTAAATTTAAAAAAATGCATAACTGAAATTGCACACGATGTTGGAGAAATTGATTGAAATATCTGCTTTTATAATTGATTAGCATACTAATTTTTTTTCATGTTGTACTAAAAGTACTGAGAAGCGTTTCAGTTTCAAATTTGAACAAAGTGGCTAGGAAGGAGAGCAAATCCTAACCGAGTTTTTCTAAAGGACGGCCAGGAACCCTAGTCCTTCCAAGCGTCTCATCATAAAACACTTGCATCTGGACTGAATTCGCTGGCGAGAGCTGTGATAATAATTTTTCGAGGCACAGCAAGGCTGCTTGTTGTCGCAACTTTTCACCAAAATAAGTGTCAGAAAATTTCAAAATATAATCGGTGTTTTAATCAAATTGGAAGCAAAAATCAAAAACGTTTTTTTTATGTATTTGAAATTTAAGAGCTCATAAGAGCTGATTGGCAGTGTTGTAGATTTTGACCAGATCATGCAATTTTAGTTTGATTTGTTCGTACATTGTTCGGCGTAGACTTTTTCGCCCGGCGTGCGTACAGATTTGCTTAGTATGAATGCTTTAAGGATAGTGATATCAGGCCACGTCAGATCATATGCTATTCGGCCGGCATATCGATAAATCTGTATACGTTTAGTTTGAATTAGTATGCTCCATTAGCGAGCCCTCCCACTATATCAAAGTTGAAATGTCGTTCAATCACATGGTTTAAAGGTATCTGACTGTAGGTTCACTTGACGAAAAAGAGCAACACGATGGAAAAAACAGACGACTCTTATGTTGATAATGAATTGGTGACACGTATGTGATAACGATTGGTGACGAGTAATCGATATGGAAACGAACTTACTTTTTAGTATCTCCTTTGCTAATTTTTTTTTTGTTCTTATTCGTATGGTTTTGTAAATGGATCGGGTTTTCTTCGGTTTTTTAGATGTACCGCTGTAAAATTGCAGTTCAACCTAAGAGTTCAAATTGAACGAGTTTGACACTCCCTGTTTTGTGAACAAAATCGGAATGTTTCTAGCAATTCTAATTTTATCCTTCTAGTTGGGGTAACTATATGATTTCTGGGAAAAATCAACCGTAGCTGATTCCCGCTTCATGGTAATGTCCGAAGAAAACTAGATGAAAGGATTTTGGATGTTTGGGTGTGTATCGAGTTGAAACTTAAATTACAAAATTGAAGTGTAAAAATTCACCTTCTGGATTCCCCAGTTGCAAAGTGTTCCACTCTGAAGGCCTTCTCTGGTCGCCTCATGCAAGTAAAACTGAGTACGGTTCTTGGTTTTGACTGGATCGAAAACCATGTTTCATAATCAAGTTTTATTATCTATGATTGTGTCTCGAAAACCATCAAAATAAGCACACAATCTGTTAACTATCAAAATGATCACGTAATGACTATATAACGTGCTGTTTTACAGTTTTGAAGAAACTTGAACATTTGTTGTAAAAGCAGCAATGCGTTAATTTTTTGTTCATTTTAAAAAAAAACTTTATTCGTTTTACCGAAGAATTTCGACCGAACCTTTAGGCGCCTGAAGTGGACAACTACAAGTCATGAAAGGACCACTTTAAGCTGATAAATTTTGATAGAAAGAAGTTGAAGTGTGCCACTACCCCGTATCAATTGACTCATGAAGCTTAACTAAAGAGGCCTCTTTTTACCGCCAATTGAAAATCCAAGTGTTTCAAAGTTCTTAAAGATCTCGTACAATGCGCCTGGAAAGATGGCTACATAGTCATCAGCAAATGACTTTAGCAGCACCAAAAACTATATCTGCCACTTTCATTCATGAGCACCCACTCATATTCGGTGGCTAAAACTTTGGCAACAAACAAGTTTATTTAGAAAAAGACTTCTAGACACAGTACCAGTAGCAATAATTTGTTAAAATAGCAATCATAAACATGTTGAACAGATACTGTTTCTTTTATATCTGTAAAATAATTACCGAATGTTTGGATTACTGTAGTCTTCGCAAATAAAATCAATTTTTTTTTCTTAAAATTAATTTTTTTCTTAAAATCATTCATTTTTTGTTGTTTTGCAAGAAGTGGGATAACAAACAGCAAAAAGCTTCATGTCAGAATGGAAATTTAGTGCAGTGCGGGGGTGTCATTTGTGTATATAAAAATAAGCTCAAAACACTTTATTTTTTGTATACTCAATCAAAATCGAAATAGCTTAATTATAATCTCTGATCCGTTTTCTTGGAATCAACTAACCTGATTTCGCGAGAAAACTGGATTTATTCTGAATTGTTTTTAGCTACAACAATTGATTGTATCAGGTTAAAACTCAGAATGCTCCGACTACCCTTTATTTTATCTGATATGTTTCTGAAGATTGAATGACATCCTATCCCATTCCAATCAACACTGTGCCAACCTAAAGTCTTCTATCATACCCTGTGCTCTAATTTATCCTATGTAAGTCTATCTATACCATTCTACCCTATACCAAAATCCACAGCAGAAACTTTCCGAACAGATCAAAGAACCATTAACTTAAACGTGAACAAAATGCCGCACACGAACAGAAACTCAAAGCAACGTAAAACTCGCTTGTTCAGAATAGAACTGAGTTCAAAGCAGAAAGGAACCAGAAACTTAATGTTTTTTTTATATAGAAATGCGTTGCGGCTGAGTTTTAAGCGAAGGAAAGTCAATTTAGGTCAGGGGATAATGCATATGCTTCAATATGTAAGGTCCAAATGATCAGATCATCGCGAAGTCAAATGTACTAATTGGAATTCGTTCGCTTTTTCTTTGTGTGCTCTTTTTTTGCCTTCAGTGCATATATAGACGGATTAATATCCAGCGAATTGAACGATGACGGTGTAAAATTGATAAAATTGTATGGAGCAACCCCGGGGCAACCTCTAGATTGATGTATATTCAGATTCTGGATACTGTCGTTATGACCAAAAGTCAACACTTTTTCTAAGAGTTCAATGCCGCTTTCGTTTTCTTCAGATGTCTTTCGACAATTGGAAGCACCGTGGAGCTCTCATTTAACTGCTGTGAAAATAGGGCACGATTAATTGCCAACCGACAAGGAAGAGCGAACTGAACGGCTTTTTCTTCTCACACAGACTGCAGGACAGGTGCTCTCTAAAATTTTGAGTCATGTTTCCTTTTCCGCGCGATCAGAAGCTTTGCATCAGAACGAATAGAAAATACTTCGTGTTCAATTCTAGAGAAAAAAAAATGTTTAGCTCTGGACACCGCCGTCGTTTTGCGTTTATGGGACCTACACCTCAAACACTTCCAATTAATTTCCCAATTTGATATTTCTTGCTAAATTCGTGGCCATCGAATCCAAGGTTGTACGTACTCTGTTGGTATGGATCCCAAGAAGTTTGACTCAATTTGAAAATGTTACTTCAATTGAACTTTATATAATGAGTTAGTATTTGTTTCAATTTTGCGTGTGATGCTGAAAACTGGATACTAAAATCTGTTATTTGAGACTATTTCAGAATTTCAAGTTTAAATTGCAATTGAGTTTTTTTGCAAATTTTTAACGACTCAAAATTTCTCACTTGATATTTGTTATTGTCGAAAAAAGTATTTTTTTTTCACTATTTTCTTCTCACAAAAGTTTATTCGATATGGGTTAAGGGCAGTTGGAACATTCTTTTAGTTTTCATCTTCAATAAAGACACTTACGAATGTGTTTGTATTTTTTTGTCTTTGAGAAAAATAAAAACAACAAGAAAATTAATCTAGTGTTTCATTATTTGAGCACTCTTTTAAGAAACAAAAATGGGAAACTGAATTAGGAGACAAAAAATATAAGAACCTCAATTGTGCTTCTCTTAATCATTGATTTTATTGTATGCAGTCACGTGAAGATTTCAACTCACATTTTTTTAACGAAAGTGGCTGGTTGAAGTAACGTAGCAATTATCACAAACAGCTAATTTCAACCATTTTGTAAAGATTTCTCAAACGGATTTAATATTGGCCTAAATATTAATAGCGCGTGAATTGTCTTATAATGGCCAAATTTTCAAATATACATCCCCATAACTTTATGAAAATTAGTAGAAGATCTTTTTAAACAGGAGCTCAGGGCATAAATACTTTTTAGATGGTATATAAAATTCCGCCAGAAATGGCTAGTTAAAAAGTCAGTCAGTCAAGTGTTCTTGAGTTTTACCCATGTTGAGCTCCACAAATGCAAGTCGCCTCGGTTAACCTCTATAGACCGAAAATGCTAATCATACAATTACATAACATAAGTCTCTGAAAAAATACTACTCACACAACTTTTATACATTTTGCTAAAACGGTGCCATCGAATTATCAGAGGTCTTGTTTCTTGTATTGGCTTATAATTCAGTGTATCGTACTAAAAATGAAAAACTTTTTGCCAAGAAATGCGAATTATAAAGTTTTCCATATATGGAGAATGTATGACTACTTTTGTTTGATGGCGACAAGAAAAAATTTTGCAAGCAATTACTAAGTTGCCTCCCATTTTTTTTTGTTTTTTTTAACCGCCTATCAATTTTTTTTAATCAATCAAAAATCCTACAGAAACATTCTTTTTTGCATGCAAAATTAATTTTTTTTGTGTGCATAACGTAGTTCTGGATGCATTAATGTTGAAGTTTTTTCCTTTTCGCTTAATAACTTTTTTCAAAAACGGTAAAAACTGCTATTTTGGAAGGCTTGATTATGTATGCCTACATCAATGTCTGAGAATTTAAAATTTCAAATTTCAAAAATAATCATTGTTGAAATTTTTTGCCAAATTTTATTTGTTTGTTATTTTTGTCATATTATTTGTGAAAAACAATTCTAAAACAACTCAGAGTTCGTTTTCTATGCATTGTAAATGCAAGATTGACCAAAATTTAGTGACTCCACAGCTTTGAATAAACCAAGGTCTTTGTCACTTGCGTTCGGTTACAAACACAATCCAAAACTTTCAGATATTAAATTTAGAAAAGAAATCAAATTTTTTAGTTTATGGAAACTACTTGTCATGCAAATTTCATATATGGAAAAATGCTTGTCATAAAGATTTCATAAATTTTTCCTACGCATAGAGTTCTATCGACTTGTATACTAAGAAATTTGTCATATATGGAAATATTATGATAATATGTTTTGGTCAACCCGGGCGTACAATGTCATATATGAGGCCTACGAAAAACTGCTTGTTATACAATTTCATTATAAGAAAACTGTTTGACTTGATGAAATTTTCACCAAACAGTTTTAGAGGGAGAGTTCAGCTTTGAGGCAAAAAGTAATTCTCATTTTAGTTGGAAAATCACTTCTATGCACAAAAAAAAGAAACGAAAAACACGCAAAAGAAACGAAAAACATGTGTGTTTTCTGTGAAGGCGAACTAATACTTTTTTTATTTTTTTTACATCAAGGTAAACTTAAAATTTGTTCAAACGAGTCCATGATTTCAAAACTTTCAAATTTTTGAAAAATAAAATGTTCTAACTAAACGCAAAAAATTACATTTTTTGTGGTACAATTTTTTGTGAAGTTCTATAATTTAATTTTATTCAAATCTTTAAATGCAGCTTATCTGTAGATTTTTTACTAAATCTTCGGTTGTTTTTTTAAAAAAAAACTTTGGTTCTTGATTTTAACACAAATACATAACGCCAAACTTAATTTTTAAAGAAATTTTGCAGCTAAGGATAAAAACTAATTATACAATTGCTTTAGTATGGAAAAATGGTAGTCGAGCACTTTCATGTAACAAGAAAATGCTAGCCATACACTTTCATTCAACGAAAAAAGGCTAGTTGTAGAGTTATCAGATATTTTTCAAGAGGTGGGAATTGCTTGCTCCACAAGTGTGAAAAAATATGACTACCAACTTTTTGTCAACCCAGGTAATCATAAACTGATATAACGAACATTTGTTATCGAAACTATTCACTGTAATTATACAAAACTTTTCGATTATACACACATGATGACCAAAAATGCTGATAAAACATTTTCCATGCAAATACATAAGAACAGTAAAAACTTAAGATCTATGATTAGTTCTTTGGATGAAATTTTATGCCCAGAAATGTTCCATAAATCGAAAAATCATTCTTGTTACTTTCATCATTTTCGGTGGTGCTTGTAGCAAAACACAAGTGACAAAGACTCTGGTTGTTCAAAAAACTCTTGAATTGCTCAGGCATTGAAGATCCTGAAAATCATATGCCTTGAGAACAACCTGGAATTTTTTAATAACATACCTACAACAAACAATATATCAAAAATACTAAATTTTATTTTCTTGGCCAACGTTTTTTCAATAACGCTATTTTTTCGTAATTAAAATTTTGAACCATGTTTTTTTATTACGGCATGTAAAGAATATATAACAAACACCGCCGGATTTAGGGGGCGGGGAACGTTTGGGCCTTTGTGCAATTTTGAGATATCCATT